CTGATAACCTGTCTAAACCCCCTGCTCCAAGTTCCCCTTTTCTCCATGCCGTGAGCTGCCCCCTGCCCCCTATGCCTTCGTCTCCAAATTCTCCAGAGAACGTGTGCCCTTTTCTCCATACAGTGGAAAGCCACCCTGCCCCTATGCCTTGTTTATAAACAAGTATACAAACCGCCCACTTTAAGCACATGGGGTCCTGGCAGAATTAGACTCTAGCCACCCCATGACCTCCGGCTAATAAAGGCTTACTAATTTTAATTAAAGTTGCGGGTGGGTTAATCGGTCGCGTCCTGGCACAACACACGCTATTAGATCGCTTGATTAGGGACAAAGAGGGTTGTCTCCCCAATGTCTGCATGGGGCCCCAAGACGGGTTAGAACGGGGTTAATCGATCGCGTCCTGGCACAACACACGCTATTAGATTGCTTGATTAGGGACAAAGAGGGTTGTCTCCCCAGTGTCTGCATGGGGCCCCAAGACAGGGGTTAGAACGAGATCACTAATTAGACACCTATGGGAGCGATTCAAACGGAGCATGCTCAGACACAAGCCTCCTTCGCCCAGGTGGGATGTCCAACTGGGAGCACAGACTAGGCCCAGCCACATGACATCACACAGGTGGGCTTAGACTTAGCCAATAGGATCAGCCAATGCCCTCAACCCCGGCTCCCCCCATCAGGGGGCTGCGGGAGAGCTTGAGAGCCAGGGACGCAGTCTGGCATGCCCTCTTGGCCGGTGGTCCCCAGTTTCTCTTTTATTCTGCCCTTGCTCAGGTGCCTGAGGGGAGTCCCTCATGTAGGTGGCGGGGCGCACCCCCTCTTGGCCCTCGGGGGTTCCCCAGTTCCTCGTGTGTAGGTTTCGCACTCCCCAGTTCCTGTATTCTCTCCAGGTGTTTTTTCCTGCCCAGTTGCAAAAGCCATCTGACAAGCTTCCCAGAAATCCTGTGTACCCTTTGGAGACTAATACCTGAGCCTTTCCCTTGCTTCCTACAAACCCACTGGGATGACAAAACGTGCTGCCGCGTGATTTCTTTTAGCGTGCAAAGGCAACCCAATCCAGGAACTAACAAATGCACCACAGTATGACAAAGTGACCAGTAAGGGGTGGGCTGTAAACCATAGCCTTTCGCAAACTGCATGCTCAGAATTGAAGCTCCAACACACACCTCGTTTCTGCCCTCAGAACATTCACAGTCCAGGGGGAGAGCCAAGACTTGGCACTAGACTGAGATGTGCCTTAGGCTGTCATGTATGCATTCGTGCACTTGTCTTCCTGTGTGTCTATTGCGGTACTGTTGCCAGAGCAAGCTTCCAACTGGAGGCTCTTTCCCTGCCAGTAATAACAAAGCAGGGAGCCAAGCTCAACGCTGGAGCAAAAAGATTTATTAGCGAAGCACCTTGAGAAGGGAGACAGGAAAAAGGCATCTTGCAAAGGGAGCTAGGAAGAGGTCTAAAGCAACACAAGCCACGTCTCCCGAAGGAGCTCATGTTTGTTCATGAAAGGTGGTGGAGGGTTCCAGGAATTGAGTCCCGTGGATAGATGTGAGTGCAAGAAGTGTTCAAAATGGAGTCCGTTGTGGACATCCCCTTACAGAAGGGTCTCTGGGAGAAGATGAGCCAGTCAGTGCAGTATAGCACCGATGAAACATACAATTTTCCTCTAGTTCTTTAATGCTTCCTCCCCCTTCCCCCCCAGTATCATGATCCCACTTCTAACTTTAAAATCCGTCCAGACCAGAGGATGTACACTGGTACAGATAAGAGCTGGAAACACAGGGAATCCAGGGCAGGTAAAGCCCTCAGGACCAATAATGAGAGTAGCAATACCAGGTGGGGGAGAAAGAGGGAACCGATCACAAGGATCTACATATAGCCCCCCCATGGGGATGGACAACAGAAAAGTGGGTTAAGGGATACATTGGACAGTGTAAGACATAAAAAATAATTTATAAATTATCAAGGGTTTATGAGGGAGGGACGGGGGAAAAAATGAACTGATACCAAGCGCTCAAGGAGAAAGCAAATGTTTTGAGAATGATGATGGCAACATATGTACAAATGTGCTTGACACAATGGATGGATGGATGGATTGTGATAAGAACTGTATGAGCCCCTGATAAAATTATTTTTTTTAATTGAGTCAGTTGCAAAGGGTTCTGAGTGGGATATCATCATTTCTTATGGGATGGTGTGCCTGCACCTGGTGGCTAGTTCCTCAGGTTCAAATCCTCTGCCTGGTCTTTGCTCCTGGGTTCAACTCAAAGTCACTTACGTTTGGTCTATCCTTGTTCCAGGGCTCAGTAAGTGCTGACCAAATGCTGAATGTTGCAGGCCTGGGAGTGGAACTAAAACATGTTCTTTTTTTTTTCTTTTTTAAAAACTTCTATGTTTCACTTTCCTCCCCCTAAAACCATTTTATTAGGAGCTAATAAAGACATCCTATCATTCCATAGTACAATCATATCAAGCAGTATTGTACATTTGCCACCAAATCCGTTTCAAAACATTTTCTCCCTTTTGAATTCCTTGAGATCAGCTCCCCCTTGTCCATCCACCGCCCCCACCATACCCGCCGTGGGATACTAAGAAGCTGGATGAAAATATTCTCTCCTCATAGCCACAGGGTTAGGAAGGCCAGCCTTCATGGGGAGACTCACAGTTATGGGAAAAATAATAACTAATATGCATTGTCCAATCATTCCACAACTCCCCCCAACTTCAGATGCTAATGTAGAAAGCTTATGGTGCCTGGCTATCAAAAGATATAGCATCTGGGGTCTTAAAGGCTTGAAGGTAAACAAGCTGCCATCTAGCTCAGAAGCAACAAAGCCCACATGGAAGAAGCACACCAGCCTGTGTGATCATGAGGCATCGAAGGGATCAGGTATCAGGCACCAAAGAACAAAAAATATCATTATGAATGGGGGGGGAGTGCGGAGTGGAGACCCAAAGCCCATTTGTAGGCCACTGGACATTCCCTTACAGAAGGGTCTCAGGGAGGAGACGAACCAGTCGGTGCAGTGCAGGAACGATGAAACATACAACTTTCCTCTAGTACCTAAATGCTTCCCCCACCACCACCCTGCGCACACGCGCACACACACACACACACTACCATGATCCCAGTTCTACCTTGCAAGTCTGGCTAGACCAGAGGATGTACACATACAGATAGGAACTGGAAACACCGGGATTCCAGGATGGATGATCCCTTCAGGACCAGTGGTAAAAGTGGTGATACTGGGAGGGTGGGTTGGAAAGGGGGAACCGATTACAAGGATCTACATATAACCTCCTCCCTGGGGGGACAGACAACAGAAAAGTGGATGAAGGGAGACACCCGACAATGTAAGATATGACAAAATAATAATTTATAAATTATCAAGGGTTCATGAGGGAGGGGGGAAATGAGCTGGTGCCAGGGGCTTAGGTGGAGAGCAAATGTTTTGAGAATGATGAGGGCAACGAATGTACAAATGTGCTTTACACAATTGATGTATGTATGGATTGTGATAAGCATTGTATGAGGCCCCAATAAAATGATTAAGACAAAACATGCTAATGTTAAGCTGTTCTCTTAAGGAACCTATTCGCTACAGGCTGTATATGCCTCTCTTTAAAGCGGACAAGGTTGATTTTATTCTCATCAAGCTAGGAGCCAGCCTTTTCCTTTGTGTCTTAGCTGCCAGGTACTTGAATGACGTACCCACCATTTTCCTGGAAGTTAAAAGGGGGCCAGATGCATATAATTCTCCAGGAACAAACTCTTCACACACACACACACACACACACTATAACAGTGGTTTGCAACCTGTGGGTCGGGACCCTTTGGGGGTCTAACACCCCTTTCACAAGGGTCCCTTAAGACCTTCAGAAAACATTTCCAATGATCTTACGAACTGAGACACCGCTCCTGTGTCTCCAGGTGGGCCCACCCACATGCAGATATGCTCACATACGAGTACCGGGGTGTAAAGACTTACCCATTCTACACCATGCTTCAAGACAAAATTCCATTTATTTGTCATTAAAAATAAATATTTCAAATAATAATTTATAAATTATCAAGGGCCCATGAGGGAGAGGGGCGCGGGAGGGAGGGGAAAAAATGAGGAGCTGATGCCGGGGGCTTAAGTGGAGAGCAAATGTTTTGAGAATGATGAGGGCAAATGTACAAATGTGCTTTACACAACTGATGTATGTATGGATTGTGATAAGAGTTGTATGAGCCCCTAATAAAACCATTTTAAAAAGAGAAATATTTCACAATATATAATTACATATTGTTTTGTGATTATCACTCTGCTTTAATTATGTTCAATTTGTAACAATAAAATATATCCTGCATATCAGATATTTACATTAAGATTCATAACAGTAGCAAAATGACAGTGATGAAGTAGCAACGAAAATAATATTCTGGTTGGGGGGGGTCACCACAGCATGAGGAACTGTATGAAAGGGTCGAGGCCTTAGGAAGGTTGAGAACCACCGCTCTATAATACGATAAGTTTAAGTTACCTCCTACGGACACCTAGATAGTCGAGAAAATGCTTTCCTGCTATCTGCTATTTAAAATTCTCCTAGAGTAATTGTCACCATGTTTCTTGCTTGCTAGACACTTTCTTTGAAATGGTCCCCGAAAAGAAGTCAGGATGTCTGAGAGTCACACTTTGCCTAATCTATTGAGTATCTGCCTGATACACATATATCCTGTTTAATAAACTAGCTCGCTCTCTCTTAATTCCAGTATCTGGACGGGTTCCTGATGCTCCCCTGTCTATCTTTTTCTTCCACAATCGCACACGCAGCTCCTCAGGACCCATTCCGTTGTGGGGCCAGAACCCATACCCCGCCCCCACCCCCCACCCCTCGGAGCCTTATTTTAGTCCCAGTAGGGTTCACCTATCCTACGCTTCATAACACCTTATCCTTCCAGGGAGAAAAACGTCTTCTTCTTACAAGATGTAAGGCAATCGAGAATGACGTCGCTATTGTAATATGCCACAAGTTTAAACATTAATCGGATTTGGTAAGGTCCATATGTGAAGGCCTGGGGAAATCCCTTAAAGTCATCCGCAGTTGAAATATGGGGCACAGAATAATGCATGCTGGAGAAGGGGTCATACGTGTCCTCTGGTCCCCCACCCAGACAGAAGTCACTTCAATTCTGAAATCAAAGAGTAATGTGACCGCATCCCTTCACCCGATTCTCTCTCCCCTGGAAAATAGTTCATGCCTCGAGGGGACTGAACAGAATTGTAGATGAATGGATACACTGGATATGGCAATATAATATACATTAAGGGTCCATGGGGTTGGTAGGGTGGGAGAGGGAGGGGATCAAGGGGAGCTGATATAAAAGTTCAAGAAGAAAGAGAACGTCTTGAAAATGATGGCAGCCATTGTGCAGTGATGCCTGATCTAATGGGACTATGGATTGTAATCATATCTGCAAGAGCTCCTAATAAAGTGTTTTTAATAAAAAGCGTTGGGGGGCGGGGCATAGCGCATGCCCCAGGGTGTCAAAGTAACAAGGGAGGAGTGGCGATCCCCCTGCCCCGTGGTCTCCGCAAAGCGAAAGCGCCCGGGGCCTCGAAGGAGAGGGGAGCCCGGCGGCCGGGCGCGTCCTTCGCCGTCGGCGCGCGCGTCGTGACGTCA